TTCGATGGATGAATCTGGGCGTGTAACATTATGGAAAACAAGAGGAACAACCTACTCAGAAAATATGAAAACTTCAATTTCCACGTAGACGCGAGGCATTGGCGCAACATGTCATCGTATGGGAAGATTTCCGCGCAAAGCACGAGTTATTCCAAAAAGTTGCATCTATGCCCCAAAGATTAAATGTAGTAATAGAGAATCATATGGAAGTGTCACACGGTATTAATACTATGTGACCTTCCATGGATGCCCTGGTAAAAAAATATCAGAATTTTTCACATTATAATCAGAATTTCTATAAAAATTTTTAGATTTTTTGTAGAATACTCAGAAATTTTCAGATTTTTTATACCAATTAAACAACTCAGACAAAATAAGAAAAAAAATTTTTTGCTAATATATCCTTGCAGAAATCTGAATAAATATGAGAAAATCTGTGCAATTTGTCAGAAATTTTCATATATACGGATATTGAAATATTCTAAAAATCTTCAATTATTTCTGAAAGTATCTGAGAAATATCATATACTTTTTTAGAATTTTTTACAAGTCCCAATTCTTGTAAAATTTCTGAGAAAATATGAAAAGTTTTTTCACCAAGATAATGTATGAATAAATGAATAATATGTTTGACATTGAATGATTGTAACGTGAACAACTCTCGTTAATGAATGAACAAATGAAGGAATGAAAATCTTGAATGAACATGGCACAAGGCAAAAGTCATCCGAAATATCTTTGGGCCTGCCGATTCCGTGACCTTCTCGCCTAGCTGCCCATCAAGTTCTGTGGCACTTTTGATAATAACAACGCCCGGGTTGGTGCCGGTTTTTAAGCTGCTCACAAACTCCTCTCCAGCACCCGAGGACGTATCGCCGTTTTCCAAACATGCCTGCCTAATGTCGGTCCAGAAGCCCTGCAGCCGAGAGAAGATCCCAGTACTAGAGTGAACAAAGACGTGCACATCTTAATCCCACAACGAATTTCTACAAGAGATTCACTCTGGATTGCAGCGGACAACAGATTGCGATTGATCTGTTCTTACTGAACAGTCAATAGTAATCAGCGATCTGGCAATTTTATGTAAGTAAATCTATCTTCTCAACTTAATATAATTATAATACTATGATTATTTTATACTAAAACTGAATTTGCAATTAATTTTTATAATTGTAATTTTTTAGAAAGATTACTTCATCGTTATTTGACGAGAAGAATTGGCTTTGAAGCGGTGATGTGGCTTCGCGGTCTCAGCATCCACGTCTTCCACGGCAGCTTCTTTGATCGACTGATGTCCTCTGCTTGCCGAACTACCAGACACCGGTTAATTTTACTGTTATATTAATTATGTATTAATATTATGTATTAAAATTAATATGTTATTAATTAATTTTAATGTTATTAATTACGTAATTAAGTATGTAATTAAAATTAATATAACATATAACACAATATATTAATATAATTATTATAAATAATATTAATATAATTATTATAAATAATTATATTAATAGGTTATATTACATTAATTTTTAATGTTACACACATCTTGAAAATAAAAATTAATTTATAAAATAAAATTGTCTATTTAGCTTATTCTTTTATACTAACCCCGATATTACAGTATTCAGTTGATATCTTAAGATTTTCCGCGCCGCACAAGATACATTTCGTGAACCTCCACCTTGGCTGCATTCGGGGAGCGCGCTATTAGCGCTATTTGCTTATTCTATCCTTGTTTTACATTTAATAAGCGATAAAGATAGAATGATACAATAGCGCTAATAGCACGCTCTCCGAATGCAGCCTTCGTATAGTTCACTTTGACAGCTATCATAACCGTTCACTACGTGTATACAGAGATGGTGGATCGCGATCTCAAAATTTCTGCGCGTTCTAAAAATCATCAAAAAAAAAGTGTTGCAACCTTTCCGTGAACGACTGTACCAGTCCAGTGGATGCGCAGTCGTCCTAAATAATAGCCAATGAGAAATGACCAGAAATGTTCAAATCCAATATGGCTACTGTCATAAAGAAGACGAGTAATAAACACGCGTAAAGGAAGAGCAAAACGTTTAAAACATAGTGTAAGTATAATTTTTATAAAGACAACACAATAAAGGCCGCCGCACAATCAAAAACATAAGGAATAGGGAACAGATATTAGAGATAAGGAATAAGGATTATATTTTTTGACTGTTGAAAGTAACTTTTTTTTTCAATTTTCCAGTTTAGGTTACGTAGTATGTACAGGCTATGAAATCTATCGTTTATATATTTTATATTTTATTTTGCGTTGATCTGTTGCTTATTGATCATTCCTTCTTTCTAATTACTAATATATGTTCCCTGTTTCTTATATTTTCGATTTTACGGCGGCCTTAAGAATCAAAAGCTTCTCTGTCAGACGATGCTGCATGCTTATATTGTCTGTCAGTATAAGCTCTGTCTCATTCTCTGTCTTTATAATTATATATATTTTCTTTTTTTTTCTTTTTTTTTCATATATCAGATTGCGAAACATAAATAAAGAAATTGTGTTAAATAATCAGAAAAAAAAATTAATAAAAAAATGTATAAAATGAGTAATAAAAAGCAAAAATTATGAATAAACATTATTGAAATAAATGAGTTTATTATTATTTGTAGTATTATTATTTTATTACAGACTTTAAGTTTAAATAAATATATTTTATTAATGTACGATTAATTGAGTATTCGAATTTCGAGGTTGCATTCCTGGTCATTTCTTATTGGCTCAATGCACGTTACGTCACTACACGTGATGTCATCATGCGCAATGATACACCTTTATATTTACATCATGGAGCTGTCTGCTCGTCTGCTGTCGTCACACGGATAGAGACGGAGCGCTCTGTGTATGTATGTACATACGTAAGTGGAGGGGAAAAAATGCTGGGAGTCGATTGTGTATCTTGAAACGAGGTGAAAATTACAAAAGTAAACAGATTTTACTAGATTTCCATAAATGAAATCGTAGATACGCTAGTGAATTTCCTCACTTTTGTAATTTTTACCTCATTTCAAGATATGTACAAACACAATCGACTCCCTGGTGTGCTCAAGCAGTCGGGCTCGAAATCGCACTACGCGTTTAAAGCCTTGTGTACATACACGATACTAGAAATCAGTCCAAGTTTCGGTTTAAGCCAATCAACTTGCAGCTCTTACAGAAAAGCAGCAGTTTCATTGGCTTAAACCGAAACTCGGACCGATTTTTAGTATCGTGTACACAAGGCTTAAGCCCGGTGTCCACGATGCAAGAACTGTGTCCAAGTTTTGGTTTAAACCAATGAAACTGCTACTTTTCTGTAAGAGCTGCAAGTTGATTGGCTTAAACCAAAACTCGGACGCAGTTCTAGCATCGTGGACACAAGGCTTTAGGCCCGGTGTCCACGATGCAAGAACTGTGTCCAAGTTTCGGTTTAAGCCAATGAAACTGCTACTTTTCTGTAAGAGCTGCAAGTTGATTGGCTTAAATCGAAACTTGGACACAGTTCTTGCATCGTGGACATCGGGCTTTACAGAAAAGTAGCACAGAGAAAACTGATCTCAAGTTTAGTAAACTTTGCTCTGATTGGTCAAATTTCAATCCAGTCTCAATCCCAATCCGTAGTCTGATACGGGCATAAAGCGGCGTTCGGAAACGTCACCCGAGTGCACACGAGTATACTCCCTTCTTTTTCTATCTTAGCGAGTTAGAAGGAGAAGGGAGTACACCCGTGTGTACCACCATGCTCCTACTCACTCCAACGCACTCCAAAAACTCATCTGTCATCCAATCGTCCTGTCATCCAAAAACTCATCATCATCCAATCGCTACCTTTTATCCGTAATCCAAGTGTCTCTTATAGAGATATAAGAATAGAGTGCGCGAGCGAGCTGAAAAATCGATAGAGGAATAAAAAGAGAAACCTGCGCAGAATAGAAAGAGAAAGCTGCGCATGGGCCCCTTCTGTCTTTGTTTCGCATGCGCGTGTAGACAAAGACAGAAAGGGCCTATATGCAGCGTTCTTTTTCTATTCCTATATCGTAGCCTCTTTGCTAGCATATGACTCGCGCACTCTATTCTTATATCTCTATAGTCTCTGGTGTATATTGGAGTATGCGACGCGAACAAACCGATTCATATTCCTCGAACGTCGCAACGTTTTGTGAGCGGAACGTTTCTGAAAAGTCTCTAGGGGGTCGATTCTGTATCTTGGGACAAGGTGAAAATTATAAAAGTGAGGAAGTTCACTAGGAAATCTACAATTTCATTTGTCGAAATCTAGTAAATCTGTTCACTTTTGTAATTTTCACCTCGTCTCAAAATACAGAATCGACCAATCCGCATCCAATAGCGTTTCCGGCAAAGTGTCGCTAGACGTAAATCTGAAATTGCAGTTCTTCAAATTCGGTTTTTGACTGACTGCACTGACTGGTTTTCAGTGCCCGTGCTTCGCGTACTGGAATTGTCTAGTTATGGCTGATATGGGCCTAAGCCTAGATGATATAATTAAAAAGTCGAAATCGTTGGGAATGAGAGGCAGAGGAGGGTAAGGCAAATTCAGCAAATTGCTAATTGCAACGGAATTCTCACGATAACTTTACGCTCGCGTTATACGTTTATAACCTTGACGCGATCGCGCTTTCCTTTATTGACAGAAGTCTGTGTGCGAAAATCCTCTTTGGAGTTCTCGTTCAGATCACTTCGTTTACGATAATCTCGTCGCCGCGAAGTTGGAGTAAACTAGCGTGCGCGGGTGTATTTGCAGCGCTAGTTTACTCCAACTGAATAGCTCCGGAATAAAACTTGCTAATTGTACATCTCTAGTGACTGCACAGTATTATGTCTGCACGGCTTGTCTCTGACGGAAACATATTCCGCGATTTCTAGATGCTATGTAACAAAACGCGTTTACTAGTCTTCTCGCAATAGTTTTTCCTTTAGTATTTATAAATCAAACAAAAATCAGAAAATTTATGTTGTACGATTGTACAGGATACGCAGAGGCATCAGCAGAGGAGCACGAGCAAACGGTTCCGTGAGAGGACGTGGCTCGCAGATAATCACGGATGCGCGGTTTAAAATAATACAGAAGAATCGGGAGAAGCTCACTGATGCCAGGGACAAGCTCGCCGAGATAGCAAAGCAGAGCGATGCGCGACTCAAATTAGACAAGATTCGTGCGTCTCATTACAAGAAAATAGACGCCCTTTCAGGAATTTCACGCAAGACTGGCCGAAACGGTAGACTATCATTGTCGACGAACAAAGTGCCACATTTGATGCAGCATGTCTTACCACCAAATATTCCAAACAATTATATACCGCCTCCCACGAGAGCGGTGGGATATAGACCGTCTTTCTCTGAGCCTCATTACTTAGGAGATATGAGTATGGATTATACTGATGGTACGTGAGGGTAGAGACATTGATGTATTTATTGGAATTCAAATTTCTGTGATTCAAATATGAACTATTCGAAATTTTTGAATATACATGATTCGAATACAAATAATATATATTGTCAATTTTATAAAGTCAGATTTCCCGTTAATAAGCAAAACAGTGTGGTCATATTAGGTGCATTCAGTGAGTGCATTTAGTATTACAACCGCTCACTGAGCAATTAAGTAGCAGTCAAAAAGTTTATTTCTAATTTTTGATATGTCCTGTGACCCTGTTAAATTATAAGTAAAAGTTTGAATATGCGTAAAAAAATATTAAGCTATTAATAAAGTAAACTACATACAAGGTGTCTTATTTTAAATAATGCATTTTGATATCTTTTTTGTAACATCATAGACAAAAATGCTTCAAACAGAAGTTGTTTGGCTTGAAGGGGGATACATGATTCCAATGTGAGCCATGATCGTAGAACGTTTTCAAGAAATTTAAAAGGCGACTAATATCTTAAATAAAACTTGATTTTTTTTTTTTTAGATAAAAGTTGTAGATCTTGTTGAGATGTTTTCAAAACACTTTAATAAAGCTCTCTTTCTTTAAGAATTTCCTGAGATATTTTAAATTTTGTCATAATATTTTTAATATAAAATGAAATATTTCGTAAAAAATGTTCACTTTTTGATGACTTTATCTTGATACTTTTATACGTAGAATAATGAAAAGAATCAATCGTAAAAAAAAATATTTTTAAAATTTGATTGCATTTTGTAGACGCATTCAATTTTGCTAAATTGCAAGTGTAAAAATTAATATTATTCGATTCCTTTCATTATTCTTATGTATAAAAATGAATCAAGGTAAAGTCATCGCAAAGTGAATATACTTTACGAAATATTTTATTTTTTATATTAAAAATATTATTACAAAATTTAAAATATCTCAGGAAATTCTTAACAAGAGAGCTTTATTATAGTTTTGAAAACGTCTCGACGGGATCTACAACCTTTATCTCAAGGAAAAACTCAAGTTCCATTTAAGAAATTAGTTGCCTTTGAAATTTCTTGAAAATGATGACATAAAATCATGTGTCCCCCTTCGAGCCAAACAATTTTTGTCTGAAGCATTTTTGTCTATAATGAGTTACAAAAGAGATGAGTTAAAATGCTTTACTTAAAATGGGTCACCTTGTATATATATTCTATGTATACAGGATGTTTCCTAAGTACAAAAAATTGAAGAGGATATTCCGTGGCTTAATTTAGGAAAAAAAGATTTTATAAACATATGCCCTAAACTGTTCCGTTTTCAAAATACAGGGTGTCAAAGTTGTGAAAAAAATATGAAAATTTGGAAAACGTTTGAAGATATTTTACTTAAATTTGATATGCGTACATGTGGTATTAAGAACCATTTTCCAGTACCAATAAAACATTTTTAGATCCACTAGTGTGCATCTTCGACACTCTGTATTTTGAAAACAAAGCAGTTTAAGACATATGTTTATAGGACCTTTTCTTCCTAAAATAATCCACGGAATATTCCCTTCAATTTTTTATACTCACTTAGGAAACACCATGTTATAATTGAATAATGTTCAATACTACATTAGAATACTTTAATAATTTAGGATTTTTTTATCTAATTGTTTCAGTTACTGCGATATTAAATAAAGTACATTTTATTAGTTTTATGTTATCTAAATATTTAAATGTTTTTTGCCTTAAAAAAAATTTATCAATATTATTTTTCCACATCAAAATGTTCTCTTATTATCTACGTGTTAAAATTCAATCTAATAATAATTATATTGTTAATCAAAAATTATATTTTTAATTTGATTTGATTTTATTCGATTCGTTTTGATTCAGATAAAATTTTGTCGATTTGACTTGAATTCGTAAAAAATAAAATTCGATTCGATTCGATTTGACATAAAAAAATCCTTGATTATATATATTTCTAGTAAAGTATATTTCAAAATGTCTTATTGGCAATCATTGTAATAGTATTTGTTAAAGAAAGTACTCATGTTAGCTTATTCATTTAGATTATTTGACGGAGTCGCCTTCATTGAGGAGGACTGTGAGTAACGAGTACGCCCCAACACCCCCACCTCCACCTCCTGTATTCAGCATTAATCCGATTTCTCCTTACACCTGGGTAAAGTCCAGAAATACTAATGTAACTAGGATTCAAGCTCGAAAATCTGAGATAGAGAAGGAACGAGAAAGGCAAAGAGATTACAAACTGGTTGCGCGCTCTGCGATGGTAAATAATTTCGTTACCTTTTATGCGAAATTTGTATAATTTGATCAGTTTAATTTGTATAACTTTTTCTGTATTGTAGTCAAAGACTGTTTCACCTCCTTATAAAGAAGACTGGAGTTTCGGCACAAAGTCGAGGTAAATATATATTTACAGAATATTAAAACATTAACTGATCAATGTCAACGGACTTTTTATAATTTTGATTATAGGACAATTGTAGCAGAAGAAACAGCAGATTCCAAGTACTACGATTCCAGAAATCTTCGAGAAGTAGGAGTTAAATCACGTCTTGATTCCTCTTCCCCGAATAAGACAAGAACAATGGGCGTTTTGTCGCGGCCGAAAGCAAGTTCCAGTTCGTCGGTGCAATCAAACGGCTATCGAATTGTGGTATCCAATTTGCAAGCCAATGTCACACAAGAAGATATCAAGGTGCAGTAAGATAAAGAAAATTTATTTCTGAAAGTTCTCGCTGTAAACTGTTGATAAAAAATTATATATATATTTTTGCATCCTGTAGGAATTATTCGAAGATGTTGGAGAACTGCTCGTATCGAGACTAGTACGTCCAGGTACAGCGGAAGTAATTTATAAAACACTGAAGGATGCGACTAAAGCAGTTGAAACTTATCATAATCGACAATTAGACGGCCATCCAATGAAATGTCTTCTCGTTAATCCACGACCAAAAAATAATCCAACTGGGCCAGCCGTCCGATCTCTCACGGAGTAAGTAGTAAAAATTGTCTATTACCATATGTATCAGGCATACATTTATGGCATATTTTATGAACTTATTTTATATGCTAAATTGTGTGATGGTACATGAAAGTCAAAAGCAGCATAAATTCATTTATTTGTATCAGTGTCACATGAAATCATTATGTGGAATTTCTCACATCTAACGTCATTCTACTATGGCTGAAACTAATTCAGAGTCTTAAAATAGTTGTCTTGAAATATCGTCGTTTGTAGGCAGCCGATGTGCTCCTTTTTTTTACGACGCAATTTCTTTTCTACAGGTCGAGACGTAGTATCAGCTCGAGTTATGTACAACCAAGTTTAGGAGCGGTGCATCGCGCATTATTCGACGATTCTTAATCGAACGTACCCATTTTGATATAAATCAATATGAAGAAAAGAAATGTCTTGTATGTATGTGTAACGGACATTATGCAGATTATTCTTAGGAAGGTGAACGGAGAAATGACAAAACACAGAACGCGCATACAATATGCGCAACTCCAATTCCCAGGTGTAATTGTATTAATAAACTTATATCACTCATTATCTTTAGTTTATATACCGTTTGTACGGACAATAACACTGGAACGTTTGTGAATTATTTTCATTATTTTTAGAGATAAACGTCTCCTCTTATATTTTATGCGCTTTTTAGTTACACACAGCATTATTGTTCTTTACATCTTATATTCTTTAAGTGTAATAAGTTATATGAGTCTGAAATATTAGAGGTCGCAAGCTATCCTTCGATATTGAAGATAATAGAAAGAATTCAGGCGTTCTGGTGTTAAAATATAGAGAGAAACTTACATTAAAATAATATGCTCGCGAAACCGCGTAAAATATCAGATGTAAGTTGCTTCTTGTACATTCAATATGTCCGAATAAAATGATACCCACCCAGCAACCTTGATATTCTTTTTAAGATATGATATAGATTATAGATATTTCAGTGATAGTTGTAATGACCGTTTGCGCATACGTACCGTAAATATAACTTGTTCAGCTTTTATATATGTGACCTTTATATTTTTAAATTTCAAAGATTATATTCTGTGTATGTCTATATGTTGGACAAGTTTCACACTCTTATGACAAAACTTACGCAAGAGCAAGTAGTGGATATATTAATTGGCTCATTGAGGATCGGTTTTACTCTCATATAATAATTACGAGAGAGCGCGAAAGAGGGAAGAGCGACTTAATACGATAAAGAATTTATTTATTTATACGTACATCACAATATTTATACCTATAAAATACAAAAGCTAACACACCACGCATGCTGCTGCTGACATGCACTAAGAGTCACTTCCCCGAGGAGAAAATATACGTTATCGAAGAGCAGTGCGAATTTTAGAGTCGGAAGTTGGTATTTTGACACGGAGAGTAAATGGCACATGAAGAAATTGTTCTCCTCTCCGTAACGACTAACGACGGTACCACAGGGGAGTCAATACTCGCTGTTGTATGTTCACCGCGTGGAAGGAAAGGGATATACAGTAAGATACGAAATGTTCAAACTTAAAGCTAACGCGGACGTGTTAATTAGTGCCTAGAATCATGCCGCTACACCTATATCCACGTCGTCGAATATTTACAAGAAAGTACAAAACAATACTGGGTCTCATCGCAGGATGAATGATGCAAATTAGCGCGTGAGATCTCTCTATTCTAGTCAGGATACAATTAAAATTCAAATATAAAACTCTACATCTTGTACGTGCTTCGCTTCACCCATCCATTCGTCCCGTTTAATTCCTACGATAATGATGATGATGATGATGATGATTGTTGACTCTGGATTTGTTGTTAGGCGTGCGAAGAACCTCTGCATAAGACATCTCCAATCGCTTCAGCCGAGCCACCTCCTCCGACGCGGTGCTGGGTTTGAAATCCTTATACTCGAAATTGTTATGCTGCTGCTGCTGCTGTTGTTGTTGTTGTTGCTGCTGCTGCTCGGCTGGGCCACGCGTCAGGCCGTATAACTTCTTGTTATCTCTCGACCGATTTGGATATACATTGTGCTGACCGTTCCATGCACCGGAGTGCTCGTGCTCGGCAGGGTTGAACGGTCTGAATCTCCTTCGGCCCCCGCCGTTAGGTTTGGCTGGTACGAGTTTCGGATTCGTCGTGGGAATGATGTCCGGCGTGGTTGATCGGTCGTTGCACTGCGCCGCCTTCTTAGCGAAGTTCTTCTTCGCCGCGGACTTCTTGCGGACGCGCAAATTAAGAGACACGTAATCCATTCTGCAGCTTGCATCCTTTCCGGGTTGCTGATTCACGGCGGTGTTGCTGGACTTGCCGGATTGCTGGCTGTCCTTTAGATTGGCCGGGCTAGCAGACTGCACCCTGAAGACCGGTTCCGAGACCACTGACGATACCATGGAGGACATGACGCTTTGATTGTCGTCCGTCGCTTCGCTCTGCAAATCTTCTTGTAACGACGCGTCGTATTTCGTCTGCGATGGGGCGGGATCGTCCAGCAACGGTAGCTTCTCGCCCTCGTCCTTTGCTTCGGCCGCCCGTTTCAGAACGCTAAAGATCTCACTGAAGAGCTGTCGGTACTCAGGCGTCTTGCGGAACCTGCTTTCAAATGGACTGTTGTCGTCGTAAATGCTAAACTTGCAGTCCTCACCGTCGGCGATGGAGCATAGGAATGAACCCGACGGTCTGTCGTCCGTTTGCGTCGCCTTGTTGCTGGTCTCGTCCGAAAAGCCTGAAGACGACGTTTCGGCTTCGGAGAAATCAGTGGGAGTGGCCGAGAAAGGTTTTTTCCCGGCGTTCTCAGGTTTGATTCGCAAGGCGGTTTTGGTTGATTCCGGAGCCGTGGCAGTCTCGACCTCGGAAGCAGCAGGATAAAAATTGTTAAACTCCCCGGACATCTCCAGCTCCTCCTGCAACGACATACACGTCGCGGGTGTGGTGTCCTTACGACGGGGCTGACAATGTCTCTGCACCTCCAACAAGGCCTGATACTTCTCTACCAAGACTCGATAAGGATTCGCGCTGTCCAGTTCGTCGGTACCTTCATTCTTGCTGCCTATATCCTGTGTGCAGGCAATTAACGTGTGTGCAGTTGAAATTACGAAAATGGGTATACGACGAAATTCATTTACAATTAATATGAATATTTAATTGCAAGAATTATATGTACGAGAAAAGCGATCAGCGTTAAAATGTTACTACACCAAATCTAAAATCTCATAATAAGGTCACGTATAATTTTTATGTTAGTATAAAACATTATACGCAACTTTTACTTATTTCTTCATTTCAATTTACGTTAGATGTAGTAATTATACGGGACGTTGTGCAGAAATGGAGGATAACTGGAAGCAGAAGGGCAAAGGACCTGCCAGATTTATAGGATATTAAAGATTGCAAAAAGTTCCATGAGAAAATGTGTTTTATTTAAGATATCTTATAAATCTGGCACTTATATATACATTGTACAAAATTATCAGTTAAAATAATTGGACTAGACGCAGCAATTCCAATAACAAGAATTATCATGCTTAGAACAACAGCAAGCACAAATGTTTACTTATCCTAGATTCTTAATGTTGCCGAGAAATGGACACAGTCTTAATAATCTTTGGGAATTAAGTAGTCAATTTGACGCAGTATTTTAGACATCATAAATGTCTTAATATTCATTAGAAAGACACTTTACGCTCCAATAGATAATTAATTTTCTTTAATAGAAGTTGACTTTTTAATAAGATAAAATTAGATAAAATAAGAATAACACGCATATGTTATTAATATATTATCTAAATTTGCACGTTATTTTAAGGTATAATCGTACAAATTGAAAGTATAATCGAATGTTAGTATTAATTATATATAATATCAAAGAGTTAATTGTGTATTAAAAATCATTTTCGAAAGTCAAGATAAAAAAAATCTTTGATTAAAGAATCTTTGATTTTTCAGAACTTTGTTTGAACAACCAAAGCTTAAGAACAACCAGAGACATTTTGCGGAAAATGAACAACGGTATTTGAAAAGGCGCGAGCATTATCGGAATAATAAAATGGGCTCTAATATAAACAATCGCTTCGGAAAAATGAAATAACAACAACGGTACTTTCGTATAAGCAAATATCCTCCATAACAACGAACTATGCCATTTACGTACTGTCTTTGGCTTGGATTTTGCAAAGTTTGTCACTTCCTAAAGCAGATAAAAGATAATTACTATTCTAGGCGAGCATAACTAAAATCAAAAGAAGCATTGTAGCGACAGACTCGAGCACAAGAGAGACTCGGTTCATGCAAACTGTAGATTTACTAGTAAACCAGCGGTTCGTAAAGTTGAGTCAAATGTTAGAAAAAAAAGAGGAAATACCTGCACAGTCAATTCGGAGTCTCGCTGACTCTCACTGATTAACGACTCAGCCATACTTATGTCATCGTACTCTTCCTGATCCAGCATTATAGAGAGTTCGTCGTGCGTCCTCGTGTCCATGCCGCGCAAACAACGCCCGCACAATTGACCCCGTCTATAAAAACCATTTTGCTTGTTTCACAAACATTGTCATGCTGATATTACCGTGCAAAATTTCTTGTCAATGAGTCCAACAACGTGCAACTTTTAATTCACTTTTATTTACATTACGGTTGCAATGATCTTTTCTCGCAATGTAGCTTTTAATTATGTATGTGAAGAACTAGAGGCGATTTACGTTCAAGAAAGGAAAATGAATGAGAACGCTCGTACCTGACTTCCTCCAAGGTGCTAATCTCCTCTTGCAGACTCTTCACATCTTGCGCCTTGTTACGCCACTCCGTTAATTGCTCCTCCAATGTGCTGTTCTCCTGTAACAAAGTGGTCAGCTGCTGACTGAGCTCGGAGACCTTCTTCTGCTCCCTAGCCCTTTGATTGCGAGCATCCTGCAACTGCTTCAGCAACTCGGTTATCTCTTCGTCGTTTGCCGCGGTCGTCTCGGTCATCTCTTGGGAGGATTTCGGCGAGCTCGGGGCAGCTCTCTGGAAACAAGAAAAAAGCATCAAGTCTCTTCCTCATGAAGACTCGGATGGAGCGAGGAGTGATATGTTACATAAAATACTCAAACTATACCCCAAACTATACATACTTGTTTCTCGCTGCCACCTTGCGTATCCGAAGTTTCCCAATCGGTACTCTGTTGCTGATGCAGTTGTTGCTGTTGATGCTGCTGCTGTTGCACATTATTTCTAGACGGACTTGCGGCATGCTGGCGCAGTCGTTCGGTCAAGTCGTCAATCTTCTTCTGTAGCTCCTCGCATCTTATTTCCAGATTCTCGATAGTCATGGATTGGCTGGTCGCGCGCAAATCGTTATATGATTATCAGTAGAAGTCTCGTTATTGCGGAACGTTTTGTGTATCGCAATTTCTCCGACGGTCGGACATCTGTTCGAAATGTCGCCTCACTTGGAGAAATGCGCAGCGCGAAATTTCTCCGGAATTTCGGGTCAACCGCGATGAGTCAAAACGCAAGACGTTTAACCCGAATTTCGATTCGTTCGAAAAGCACATTGACCCGAAATTCCGATAGAATTTCATGGACACGCAGTATATAGATTCCATTAGGGAGATTGGGATAGAGTTAAATAGGAAAATAATACTTAATAACTTTCCATGAACTTTAATTGTATTGGATAGTGCATGAATTATGCATTTAGAAAGGTGAGCTAACAACGGTTCACATAGCCAATACAATACGGAGCTAACAAGATATAATAACAGACCTCGTTAGGCCGGCACGTTTTCGCGGTACTTGTAGCAAAATCTTATCTGGAATATCAAGCGGTATCTTTCTTTCGAATGAGAGTGCCAATTTTTCTCTCCTTTTTTTTCCTCTCTATTTGAGGACGTTTCGCCAATCGAAGAAACGGCGTTCGAAAAAGAAGCAAAGGAAGATAACGCGCCTACCTCTTGATCAGCTTCTTATCGCTCGTGTTTTCGATCACCAGATGATGATTCGCACGTTCCAGATCCTGCACGCTGACTTCCAGCTGCTCGTAGACTTTCAGCCGCGTATTGTTCACCTCCCTCAGGGCGGCAGTCTGCTTTTTCATATACTGCGGAACGAACAAATAACATGCGTATTCATCGGACAGTGCAATTTCGAGGTTGAGCGATTCCGCAAATCGTTCGCGACTCGAATTTTCTTGCCGTGCCCCGCGATTGTCGCTGTTTATTACAAAAATGCTATACGGAAGCTATTAGTAAAATTATCAGAGAAGAACCGCAGGGTAATTGGTTTGCCGTGAGCAATACTAATATCGTTCAAATTGTAAGAATTACTCGCGAAAAAATTACTGCAAGATTTATAGTAACCTCGATTTCTTGTGTTTGCTCCTCCACAGTAGCTTGGTGCAACTTGATGATGTTCTCCAGCTCCTTATTCCGTTCTAGAAGGGTCTTGCCGAGCTCCGCCGCCAACTGTAGATCTGCGCAAAACGTAAGACGTATTTTTGCATCTTCTTTTACCTCGATTAGGAATAATCCTACTCATCGCGAGCATATTCTTTGTTTTTAATCTATTGGAGTAAATTAACGAATTAAACTTCTGATAGAGATCTGCGCAGAGGAAAGAGGATCGAAGCATGAATCTGTAGTGATAATTTCGATTCCGGATCGCTATCGCGATGTCGGTGAACCCGAGGGAATTCGAAGGAATATCTACGTTGACGGAATCGATGTCGACTCAGGCTCGCTCCGAATAATAATTAATCGTGGAACCTGCTGAGCGGCGGCTGCAGGTTGCTGCCTGCCGAGTGAGCGCGAACGCCCTGGTTCACGCTCGCGGCACTCCCTCATTCTGACACCGGCTAGGGCCAAGGACCTTCGCGACGAGCAAACGACCGCCGAGCTACCGTTTCGCGGTACTCGATGTCGTGGTGAAGCAACATGACCCGTGAAGGTCACGGACGAAGTTGACTTCTTAATGCGACGCAATCACGGCGCGAAACTGCCGCAAAACCCTTTCCAGATTGCAGTAATAATTTCAGAACTGAAGAGATACAATTGAACGCGTACACATCTGCGCGATAAAACGGACCCGACGATATAGCTGCCTTTATCAAATCGACCTTTCGGTGGAGTGGAGATACCTCTTCCACCCTCTTCGGTCACGACAGGTTTAATCCACCACGTGATAACGATCGCAATAATCTGCCATCTCTCCTAACGTTATCACTTCTTCCGTACTAAACACCATCTTCTTGACCACAACACCACACGTTATCGATAGTATCGTCAATCGACAGTATTTTTTCCACCCGCATTCCAATCGTCTCCTCTTACGTTCGCGCGTACTTACTACTTTCGGAGGAGGATCCCTTAAGACTTTTAAGGTACGCGAGCTCGATAGAATAATCCCAGCCCTCTAACGAGTTGGTCTGAGTCTGCGGGTCCCAGACCATGTCCACGCTCTGCCCGCTCATGGCTCGCTCGTGATGAGACCTGCCAGTACCCGTCGTTGCCCTTTCCGACACACATCCGGTTCCGTCGGAGGCAGCCGGTCTTCTGTGGATCCGTGGTAGCTAGCCCGATCGAAACGACGTGTGCCCACCGAGCGGTAATCCACCTCCCTGGCTCCCTCCTTTCTCGCTCTCGTCTCCCTCCCCCTGTCTTTCTTACGCTTCTGGGCTCAACTTTTGCCCCCCTCCTCCTCCCCGTCTCTCCTCATCTCCGTTCCAATCGAGGGGGTACCCAAGGGGTCTCACTTCACTACCCGGCCACTTTCCAGTAGTAGTTTTGAATTTCCAATAAGCGTCTAAGCGCAATGACACCTGGATGACACTAGCAATCAGCTTGGACCAAGTTCGGCCCCATCGAAAACAGAAGGGGGGGGGAGCATTGACCCTTGGGAGAATAACACTAAATCTATCGTAAAGAACCGTTCATTCTCTGATTATTCCGACGGAGAACGCGATAAATCAAATCTTTCGCCATTCCCTCTCTCGAAAGCACTTAGCTCCCCTAAGTGCTTCTTCGGTACTCTCACTCTGGAGTCCTCATCCTTTCCCTTCTGCCTTTCTACCTGGCTCGTTCCCGTCGTTCGTGGGATGCTCCGGCGCGATAAGAGAAGGTGTCCCACTTCTGCAGAGATCTTTCGTCGCGCGCGCGCGCGCGTATCTTCCCACCGAAAGAAATGGGGGCTGTAGGTTGATGAGACAGGGTAATCTGACGGGTGATGAATAAGGAAAGTCATCGTGCTTATCGCCCGCTGAAAATTCGGAGATCGCGTAAGCTCGCTTTTTTCGTAAACGATTGGAACAACGAAAGCCGAGTTATGAAATTTGGTTCGTTAACAACAGCTTGAAGGATGACGAGCAAGTTTTTTTTTCGTTAAGACCAGTCACCATCGTTGTTCCATTGTGTCGAGGCAGTAATATTAATTAATCCGGAGCAACCGGACGAATAATATAGCGATTAAGCCGCGCCGTTCCTGTGTATCAACGTTTAGTTACGTTACGTTAATAGTCGACAAAACCTTGATCCACTTGGACATAATAGCGAATACAGCGATTGGCAACTCTCGACGTGTGTAAAAGCTTTATCCGATATCGCTTGACACGTTCACTGTCCACGGCGAACGTTATACGTACGCATTGAAAAATGAGCGTAAGAATATTCATGTACATTTGTAGCGTGTGATATAAGCTTTCTCTGAACTGTCATCTGGATTTATTTTACACAAAGGGTTGTCAAAAGAACAGGAGCTTTTAAAACATTTCAAAAAGTGCGATAAAAGGTTTCAGAAATGATTTGAGGATGACGTCTGATTCGCTTTACGGATGCTTCACGCAGATCAAAAAATCCCGCAACGTTATCGCAGTTCGTAAATCGTTTATACATTTCGTATCCTATCTGATCGCTTTCGAGCGAATCCGTGGACTCCATTGTGTTTAATGAATCCGCAATCCGCAATCAGATTCAACCTAGCGCTGCAATAATCTCCGAAAACATCGGCCCAGTGTCCTCATTACTCACCCATTACTGCCGCATCGCGATCAGCAAGTCCCCCCCCCCCCCCCAAAAAAAAGAAATTCTATTCTTTCGCTTTTGACGTTTTGCTGCTACAGCGACTTAATGACACGATCAGTGGTGAGCCAACCGTTACGGCGAAGCATCGCACGAGCGATATGCAAGAGAAGCGAGCGATGATAAATTTCCGACGTGTTCCGTTGACCCTTAAGCCTTAGTTATTAGTAACAAAGCCGTTCTCGCGGTACGATGCTCGCCGGTGAAGGAAACGCATAATACAGCCCGTATATGCATATGCGTATATGTATGTGCGTGCAGGAAAAGTGGTACGCGAGAAATCGATGACGGACGATTTCGTATATACCACGTCCAGAAACCGCTTCGTCCCTCTTCGCGCTCTGTAGACGCGGAAACCGGCGCCTCGTCGCGAGTTCGCGGGGTCACGGCAGAAGCGAATCGACAAGCTCATCGTTCTCTTCGTTACGCTCGCGAGACTTCATTACTCGGCGTGACTTGTTTAAGGGGGACCCGACGCTCGCGAGTGAATATCAATCGCCGACGCCACCGCCGCGATTAAACCCCCGCGGGATCCTTGTTCGCGAGCTCCTGGGAACCCCCGCGATAACGATTTTCGATTCGTTATTACGCCCGCTCCTGGTGAAAGTCTTATTTTTATGCCGGAAAGCTTGCGTAATAGTATTTAATATTTTTCTTCTCTTTTCTTTTCGTCGTTTGCGACGAGTTTGCGCGGACGTGGCTAAATTATACGTTCGGAACGGCGAGATCGGCGAATGCACTATCGGTGAAAAAGGACGGTCCGTGGACAGCCAAATTAGAGCGTTCGGCGAGCCATTATCGATACGCGAAACTCGTTCCGCGCGAGGTAACGCGTCCGACAGCCGCGCCGGATAACTTGGCGAGCAACGTTTCGGAGCTTGCACTTTCCTTATGCGCCCGAAAGGTCAAGTCGATGCACCTGCGCACTGCAACAATAGGCCCTCATTTTTTTCGCCTCTCTTTTCCCTTCGTCCCCGCGCCGCGCCGCCCGTCATCCCGATGAAGAGATTAATAACGTTTCGCCCGGAACATATTCTCAGGAGAAAGTAGCCGGCGAGGGAGATTTAGATTCTATTCCGAGGTCGCCGGGTCATATTCCAGTCGAAATATCACGGCGCGCGGTTTCCCGCACACGTCGTCCACGCGGAACCTGCGGAGGATTCCGCGGCGAATTCTTCCGCTCGAGTCGAGTCGAACCATTAGAACGTCGTTTCCGACTTTTGATTTCGTCGTGTTCGCTTCGTTAGACAAACTCTTCCGCCTACGTGTCTCGATACCGGTTTATTAGCCCGTTGCACCACGCCTTCTGCGATATCGCCCATATATCGATGAAATGAAACAAGGGTGGAAAACAGAGAGCGACAAAGTTACCTACTCTCTCGAGAAATGATTAATAAGCGTATTACTTGCTCTGACTTATTGGATCGCGCAAAATTGCATATTCCGGTCAGGTCTCTTGCAATTTAATTTTTTATGAAGAATTGGATCGTACTTTCTATGGTAAATTTAAACCCCTGAATGGGATATGCTGGCGAACGAATTCTCCGATTGCATGGACTTTTTTCAAATATCTCTTAGCTTTTTTATTTTTAAACAATTATTATTTTACTGTCTTTAATAGATCTTATTTAGTATTTGTTGATATTATATAATTATTATATTATGTGTACTAAAAGGATCTCTATAAATCCTATTTATAAATAAATAAATAAATAAAAAACGAGAGTAGGATTTAATTATCAATTCGATAATCACGTCTCTAAGGGAAGGGATTCCACGTCGAAGTTAAAGGTCAGACTCGATCTCGTCGCAGTATTCGAGGTGCAGGTTACCGGATGAGTTTTTCTCTGACTTTCGCGCTTCTCGAGCGATAATATCGCTAATTCGATAATTAAAGCGCATGTCGACGCGAAGGTAGGTACGAGTACATGCGCGTGGGTGGAAAGACGGCGTGACATACGAGATTCGAATATCTGTCCCAGTTGAATCGTGGTAGCACAATGCCATTCATGCACGCGCCCGCCCGTCCGCCTGCTCGCTCGCTCGCTCGCTGGGTCTCTCCTTCCTTTCTCGTCGTCTTTTTCGACGAACCAGTAACTGGAGCTTGCCAGCGCACTCGCGGCGTTAAAGCATCCCGTGGGCCGTGTTCCCATCATTGTTTCGGACCAAGCGTAAAATATTCAAGCGACACGTGAGGCGCGCGAGGTTCAACGACGTCGTCGAAAGCGCGCTGAAAGAGAGTACATGAAAGTACATTGCACGTATGGAATTTCGAGCGGAAACGCGTGGAAGAAAAAAGAGAGAGATTCTAAAATTCTAAACCTTCCGATTTTTAGAACTGCACGAACTAGCACGAACTTAAACAATCAATTAAATTTTGCGATATCTATCGTGATTTGAT